ATTCCTCCTGATATGCTAAGAGCTGCTGTTGAGAATGCAGTAACAGGATTTAACTTACTTTTGGAAAATGCTGGACGCTACATTGAACATGCTTTGTAACACGTTACGGAAAATATTAAATGCATTTTAAACAGATGCTTTCGTGTTCAGTTGTCAGTTGTCTTATGTTTTTCATTTATTGTCTTACATTTAAATATTGTATACAGCGCCATTTTTCCCCTGGTGGTGAGTTTTTTAACTCTCTTTTTTTTTTTTCCGCGGAAAATAAATTCCCATAACCTCCTTATACACGATTCCCAAGTTTGATAACATTTGGTCCGGTAGTTTTCCTTTTATGACCATTTCAAATTGGACCTTTAATTATAACCACCATGTAAATTAAACTTTAAAAGTTTGACAGTTTGGTTCAAGTCCCAGCTTTAAAAATATATATATAAATATAATCTTTTATATTAATCTTCTTAGAAAAAATGTTTTAAGAAGCTAATTTTTCTCTCGCGTTAAAGATTGTATAAAAAAACATGATCTTTAATATGATTTAGATTGTTTCAGTCGATATAAGAATCGGGTCACTCGGTGGTGAAGAATAAACACTGCTGGACTGTTTTATTTCTTTGTCATTTAGCAAAAAATCTTTTAATTAAAATATTTATCCTTTGGACTTTGCTCTATACTTTGTTTATAGTAAAAATGTCTAGAAAATGAAAAGCTGTCTTCAGCTGAAACACAGTTGATGCAATTGATATTTTAAAAAATTGACAAGAATGCAAAATTTGTGGAAATCTAGCAATCGAAAAATCTTAGTTTTCTTGTGTGAGCACTTAATAACAAATAACTGTAGAAGTAAAGAAGAAAATTAGGGAGAAAAGCAAGCAAATATTTGCAGGAAAAATTTGCCTCTTAGACATACCGAGATATTTCAAAAAGTTGGACGCTTTTGAATATACTTTCAGGTTACTTGAAAGAATTTAGGCGTTCAAAGAGAAAACACTTGGACATGTACCCCAGCAAATACCATCAACTGAGCTTGTGTTATCAGAAAAGACAAAAACGATATCATTGCAGATTAAAGTGAAGAGCGACTGGTTTTAGACTATATGGTTGTATAAATTTAAATTACGTTATAGAACATCATATCGTACCATAAATGGAGAATCCCATAATTTTCTCAGTTGAATTATTTGAAGATTCAGGAGTTTATTTAATATTTGTATGTGAATGTCACCTAAAGGCGTTTTTTTTTGGTATGTTATTTCAGAAAAAGTCCGATTTTGTGTCAAAATACCTATGTTAGAGTAGTGCTATATATAAATCTAATATATATCCTAAGTCGCACTTTCGATACATGAAGAACGCAATTTGAATTTTGTGAATCGGCCCAGTAGATCGGGAGATATAGGACTGTCCCATTTTTTTTTTTTTTTTTTGAGCAGTGTACCTGCTATTAAGAAGGTGATAATAAGGTGGCTATAAGGTGATGTATGCAACATGTAAAATAGGGAATAAGTGAATTGGTTGAAGTTAAGTAAATGTGTGTGTGGGAAATACCTTCAGCTGACAGTACAATGGCAGGAAAAAAAATGAAAGAAACAATTATTAAAAGTTGTTTTATGTTAATTCTGTGGAGTGAAATTCAATTTAAGGTAGCTAGTTAGAGCTCAAGGCAAAATTTAGTCCAATGGGATTCATCTTCTCTACACAGAATTATGCCAATTGTTTCACTTTGGGGGGGGGCACGTGTAGAATTTATGTATCTATCCCACATAAGGTGCTTCAAATTCTAATTTTAAAGATTGTATGAGTACCTGGATAACATTTTCATAAATGGAAGGTGGAACATGTTGGTAAAGATCTGGTGGACCCTGAGAAAAGATGTATGATTGGCAGAACAGAAGCAGGACAAATACTGATACAGGTCTATAAAGATCTAAAAATAGCCAGAAACATCATATCAAGAATACCAATGCAACTGTGAAAGCTGAAAAATCCAGATATTTGATTTTTCATCAATAAAATGTTAATAAAAAAGCACTGCTTTTTTATTATGCTAATTTAATCAATCCTTCTGGTCTAACTATTCACAGCTTTAGAACAAAACGGCAAGGCAAAAAGGCATTCAGAAAAAAAAAAAAAAAAAAGCCACAATACATGCAAAAAATGCATGCAATTTTGTATGCAATGACATGAACTACAGATGGAGGACAAAATAATACAAACACCTGTGAAATAATGGAAAATCTTTATTAACAGGGGTTTGGACCACCCTTTGACTGAAGTGCAGATTGAATGCGATGTGGGATAGATACATAAAGGTCATGGACAATATTTAAAGGAATATTAAGCCATTCCTCCTGCAGAGCAATCTCTAATTCCGAAAGTCCAGATGGAGGTGGAAATCGGAAACGAAGTTTGGACTCCAAGTTTGCCCATAAATGTCCAATAATATTCAAGTCCAGAGACTGAGGGGGGCCAAGTGAGATGTTCAATTGCATCGTCATGCTCTTCGAATCATTCTTGAATACACCTAGCAGTGTAGATAGGGGCATTGTCGTCTTGAAAAAGTGGTCGCTTTCCAGGGAATACATTCTGAACAAAAGGATTGACATGATCTCCTAGAATGCTTAAATAGTGATTGGATGTGATCCTCCAATGCAGAATAATATGTGGCCCAAGACCGCGCCAAGATATCGCACCCCATACCATAATGGTGCCACCCCTATGCTTCATAGTCGGCAAGAGGCAGTCAGGATGAAACGCTTCTTTGGGCGTTCTCTAGACATAAACGCTTCTGGTCATCTGAAATAGGGTGAATGACGACTCATCTGGCCATATTATCTGTTGCCACTGCTGTGGGGGTCAGCCTTTGTGATCTCTGCACCATTGACATTGCTTGAAAGCATTAGTTGCTGTCACCAAGGGTTTATGAATTGCCACTCTGCCATAAATGTTAGCAGCATGAAGTTCCCTTTTGACAGTTTTTGTTGAAACGGGGTCCTGGAGATGACTGTTCATTTTGGATGTTATCTCGGATAATTATTGCTTGCGCTTTCGGGCTACTATGCGCTTCAAGATCCATCTATCCCTATTAGCCAGCTCTGACTTTTGCCCACTGTTGTGCTTTGAAGACGTTGTCTTACACTCTTTCTTGTATGCTGTCATAACGGCTGATACCATACTCCTTGCACATTCCACAATGTTTGCTGTTTCTGTAACCGATGCTCCACTTAAACATGCTCCAACTATCATTCCTCTATGGAACTCTGACATTTCAACTTCTCACAGACAGTTCGATCAAAACATGCAATGCAGGTGACTGTTGTTGAGAGACTGATACCTTCCTCTTCATGCTCACTAGGCGGCAGACTTCTGTTGCAGGTGGCGCGGCTGTACTGCAAGTGTGAAATATGTCATACTTTTTCACAGGTGTTCGCATTATTTTGTCCTCCATCTGTATGAAGATTTGCAATACTTTTTGTAATTTTTAAAAGTTTTTTATAACATCATATAGTGCATAATTCATACAGAATAAAAAAAAAATATGGCCTTTTACAATATTTTAAAAGCAAGTTTTTCTTTCACGTATTATATTGTAAGCCGAAGACTTTAGATGAAATTCTCATTTCTAGCTGGATTCTAGCTAGTTAATAATCTTGTAAGTTTTATCTTAATTTATCTAACAGTTAATTTTTAGTTAAAAGTTACTTTCCTGTCCTCTCTGAATTTCAGCTTATAACTTCCGGCCAGAACGTATTTTCAGAATCGCGGTCAAATGCAAATGAGGAGAAGAAGTATTTAACTGTGAAGTTCTACTGACTTCGTTAGAGAGCCAGATATTCTGAGCAGCTCGCATTCGCTTTTAGGCTACTCTCTCTCTTAAGCTATTATTATGATCAGCCGTACCTTAGGCCCTTCATAGCTTCGCCGTTAGTTAGTGTTAAGGGACCAACTTTGTTAGAATCTTGATAGCTTCGGCTATATCTTTTTAGTTTAGTTAAGTTTTATTTCTTAGTTTCCTGAGTTCAAGCCTGAGTGAAGGCTTTATTGTAAACCCCAAGAAGGAGTCTTTTGTGAACTTTATTTGGAATAATAAAGGGTATTTAACCCTTCTTGAGTATCTGTTCTCTGTCTACCAAACTAAAGCAATTATTTGCTAATCAGATCTTAAAGTTCCTCAACTTTATCTGTAAATTAAAAGATGGGAATCTTACAATCTGTACAGAAATTTTTCAGTATTCAATATGTTTCATCTGTCTGTTCTATCCTATATCTTATAACACTGTTATTAAACTCCCTTCTTGATCTTTTTCAGTGTTCTCTGAGAAAGATTCAATAGGTTTCATCACACAAGTAGAGAAAAAAAAAGGAAATTTACTATGGAAATAATGTACCTGATGATTAATTACTACAAGACAACTATTGAGTTTCCTATCAAAAAAAAGGGGGGGAACAAAACAAAGAAAAAGGAAATAATTAAAATGTCAGCTGACATCAATATTACCAGAATGTGCTAAATGTATGCATATCATCATTGCATGCATTTTTATTTAAATCAATTAAACGCATTACTGAAAAAGGAAAAAAAATATTACTGAGAACTTCAGCTACTGCTTTAAAATTACATAATTTGCTAATCAGTAACAGATGGATTACATCTAAAAGGTAAATTAAATATTTTAAGTTTTGCCAAATGGCAGCACACACATGTGTGGAATATAAAAATATTTTATTTTGGGCAATGGCCACACACTTCTTTTAAATTGCTGAGTTTGTTGATAAAAAATTCTGAAACATAAAATCAATCCTTTTTTAAATTCAAAATTTGGACTGAGATGAACATGTTGTGGTGGAAGACTTTGCACATTCAAAATCATATGGTTCTGGATGCCGCTGTCTTTTCAGAGTGGAATAAATCATACACATTCTTCATTTTTTAATGATAGAGATAATCCTGTGATATTAAGAAACTGAAAAATATATAAGATAATAAATAAAGTTTTAACCTGAATAATTGCTTGTCGAAGAGAAATAGATCCAGCTGAGAAAAAGACCAGCATTTTGCTAATGCATGTCTGCATCTAAAATTCATTAAATAAATAAAAATTATGACAAATAACCCTGGTTTAACATAACATAAATACATTTTTAACCTGAACGGGAAGAAGTAACAAAACTCATTTCCAAAAATTTAAACATCTCAAACAAATATAATTACTAATACCTATTTATATACTTGATAAAATTTTATTTGAAATGAAATTTAAGTAATACAGTCAAAAGTCGTTAATCCGGACTCGTCGGGACTTCGGCGATTCCGGATTATCGATTTTTCCGGATTATAGATCATCAGTTTAAATCTCGTAAGATGGCATGCAGAAATTCTAAAATTAAAAATATGAAACCGTAATTTATGAAATAAAGAACAATTATGATCTAAAGGGTATCAAAATTTGCAAAAAGAAAAAGCTTAATATTTATTTGTTTACTTAAATAAACATTTCTTTCAATGTAAGTTGTTTAAGTTGCTTCGTTTTTTATGTGATAATACATTCTCTTTAATTCTATTAAACAGACATAATTTCTTGTTCAGTTACAAAGTTCCGCTGTTCAAGTCCTATAATTGCTGTGTCAAGAACACCGACTAATTTGTCAATCGAAATTTTTTCGTTTTCAATAACCTCTGTACTTTTCTTCGCTATCGGAAGCGAATTATAATGACGAGGAACTTGTTTTAAATCATATCAAAGACGGAGCATATCGAGATGAAATACTACATTTGGTAAGGAATTATAAGCCAAATAAAATAAAAACATCTGATCTTCAATTATAAGCCAAATAAAATAAAAACATCTGCCCTGAAGATAAGGATAGTGCTGACAGATAACTTCCAGTTCATTACGCGCCCGCCGGGCGGCGTTCCCCCCGCCGAGCAGCGTGAAATTGATAAACAGATTTCGGATTTCAAACATACTTTCGCTTTAGATCCTTTACATATTAACAAATATATATCGGAAATTCTATTTGATATAATCGAAAGTTTAAGCTTACTTTTATAAAATTGCTCTTACAGTCTGCAAAAAGTAATAAGCCGGATCCAATTCGAAAATTAAGGAACAACGCAATCATCAACATTAACTGAAATAGATAATTAGATAATTTTAGCTTATACGTCCATTATACATAAAACGCGCACGCGAAAACGTATTCTGCACTTGCGCACACTCATATGCGCAGTCGTAAAAGGTCTTACGCGCACGCGTAAACGCCTATGCGCATGTGTCAACGCGGCGCATGCGCAGAAAGTTTTTAGTTTTGAGGTCCGGATTATAGATCATTCCGAATTATGGGTGTCCGAATTAACGACTTTTGACTGTAGTATAATCATAATAAATTTTCACTTTACAATAATTTAGCCAATAATTATAAAAAGCTATTTGCATTGCAAAACATTTCAATCATAAAAAGTTGAAATAACCACAAAATAAGAATACAAATCTGATGTGGGCACTGTGTGTATGTGTATGTCATATTGTATTGGTTAGAATAACATTTGAGTTTAATGAGTAAAATATATGGTAAAACATTCATATCTTTACATATCTTTATTTCATGAAGATTCTGATGTTCAAATACATTAATTATTACCATATCTATATTATCAGATGTTTCCTATTTTTATATATGATTCACATAATTTCATTAGAGATATAATCATTCAATTAATTCAGTTCTCACATCAGTGCAAGTCAAAAATACATAAAAACTCACAACACATTCATTAAAAATTGTAAAATACAGAAAACCCTGATACACCAAATACAGTTAAAAATATTTATAATTAAAATTAAAGTTTCTATGCAAAAACAAGCAATTCGGCCAGTGATCAGGAAGACAGATTTTTAGTACACAAACCGAATTCACTATTCTACTAAGTTTCAAATGTAAACAAATGGTTGCCTTGTTAGACTTAACAGAGCCACTTTACAAATTTTAAATTGTTGATAAGTCTACATTTTTTCATGCAGATTAGCTAAAGAGATAAAAATCTTAACCGGAATATAAGAACAAATAATTCAATCACTTTTAAAGCAAAAAATGCACAATTTACCAATGCATAAGAATAAAAAAACTGAGCTTACTGAGCCAGGTAACAAAGTGGGTATATATATATATATATATATATGTCTGGTGTGGCAGATTGCAATCAAAAGGGAAATGCTACATGTTATAGCAGTCTCATATACAAAATTTCAATGCTCTGGAGGTTATTCTTGAGTTCTAGTACGATACATACACTACCTGACATTGAAAATGCAACACCAAGAAGAAATGGCTTGAATGTGATAAAACTCGGTAAAACGAAAGAGAGACGCAAATGAACAATAAGTGATCTTTATTTCGAAATGATATGCATAATACAGATAGAGAACAGTGTTGGTTGGTGATGAAGGATGGGGACGCCTGATGTCTAACAGAGGTTAAACAGGCATGTGTCCCACGCCCTCCACTAACGTGAAACAATTCCATGAGGCCTCAAGAGAACAGTGACGGTTGTAGGACTACCTTGGATGGCGATACATGAAGTAACACGTCTAGGTACAGAGTCAATGAGACTATGGATGGTGTGCTAAGGAATGGCTCTCCATTCCCTGTCAACTGTTTGCCACAGTTCATCTTCTGAATACAGCAATGGCAGGGTCTGCAAATGGCATCCATTCACAACCCAAATATGTTCGATGAGTGAGAGATCAGGAAAGAATGGGGGCCAGGGAAGCCTCTGTACACCTTGCAGAGTGCATTGGCTCATGCAAGTATGTGTGGTCGGCGTTATTCTGCTGATGAAAGGCATTGGGCACCAAATGAAGGTAAGGAATTTTTACTGGCTGCAGCACATCATTCATGTATTGTTGGGTCATCATAGTGCCTAGAATACAAACTAGAGGTGACCAGGAATCGTATGCAGTTGCGTCCCTAACCATGATGCCGCACTGTCGCATGGTGGGGGACAGCATGATCCTGTGCCATTCCATCATCTACATCCCTTGAGCCTGGCGCCATTGCAAACATTGACGTCTATGATGTGGGGTCAATAGCAGTCTTCTTAACGGACGCCACGAGTGCAGACCACTAATTGACGGTAACTCACCATGGTTATCTGTTTAAGGGAAAGAATACCTTTATGGAGGACTGAAATACTTGATGTAGAAACTGCAAATTGGCTCATATTCATGGTACCAAAGGGTAACTACTCAGTGTTCAAATTACTTACATCATTAAACCATTCATGTAGTCGACTTATTCTCTGGTATTTGAACTTAAGTCAAACTATCCCTATTCAGCAGTTTTATCAACTCAATTACTGGTGAGTTTAAGAATCATGAGATACTGAATTTTCATACGAAATTGAACTCAATGGAGATTGTTTCTACATTGTAGAGAATAGTCAAAATAAGCACAATTAAATTTACACATCTTCGTGTTCTTGCTATTCCTTCCTTATTCCATTGAAAAATATAATGTCAATTAAATTATGACTCCTCACTGAGAGAGAAATCCTTTTGTTTCTACTTGAGAGTTTTATCAGGTTTTAAAGAAAGTTTCCAGCCACTACAAATATCGCCTATGTTTAATCATATTTTGTCAAACAGTTTTTGGCATTTGAAAGAAAGAGACTTGCTTTAGGACACTGTGTTGTGAAATTTGTAAACAAATACAGTTATCATTAAGTACAAGGTGTCTGAAATGGAACTATCATGCTACTAGAGATTAGAACCATCATCTACATCCAGTTCTATTGCAAAACGTCAGCTACAGAATGTCACCAAATCATGTGTATAGCTTTAGGTACTAATGTTGCATCATATGACACTGTGAAGGTTTGGTACTGAAAGTTCGAAAACAAGGGCTATGATATTCAAGAAGCAGAGCACAATCCTACTAATGTTGACGAGGCCCACCTGCAAGAAATTGTAGAAGATCAGTACGCAAGCACTTAAGAACTTGCTAAGGAGTTAGACACTAGTTGTTGAAACTCTCACCGACAACCACATGATTCGCGCATGCACGCAGCAAAAACTAAAACAGAACTTTTTTAACTGAACTTTGAGAACTCGTGATGGACGTTTGAGTGAAACATGTAATCCTTCTCTTCTGTGTTATATATATATTTTAGTTTAGTGATGTGATTGTAAATTAAATATCTTATTATCTTAGAAGCCTCTCTCTTTCTGTGAGTAGTGCTTTGATGAATGAAAATAAACATTCCCGGATACGCCTTTGGATTAGAAAGAAGATCGATTAAAAGATAAGTCTTTTTACCTTTTATTTTCTAAGAATGAACACATTATACACTAGTGTTATGTCCATTAGTCACACTATTCATTGCATAAACTTGATGTACAAGTTCAGTCGCTGAGTGCCACAAAAGCTGACTTAAGCAGATAAAGACAGACGTGTTCAGGCCTGCACTAGTCTGCTCGAATTTCAATGAAAGGACAAAATTCTGGTTCGGATCGTCACTTGTGATAAAAAGTGGATTTATTTCAATAACACAGGTCAAAGAGTGAGTTTGTCTAAGCCTGGTAAGCCCATCGGCAGCATTGCAAAGCACATTTGATTAACAAAAAGATCATGCTTTGTATCTGGTAGGATTGCTGTGGTATTATCCACAAAGAGTAACATGGAAAAGGTAAAACTCTTGACTACAGCGAGATGCTGCTATCAAGGAAAAACGTCGTACTAAGTTCCAGCATAAAAGGGTAGTGTTAAATCAAGATAATGCAAGACCAGACGTGTCTCTATTCACTGGCTGGACTCTGTATGGACTCGAATGGGATCCTTTGACACACCCACCCTATAACCCTGACATTGCCCCTTTGGACTTCTTACACTTTTTCACATCTGCAGTTACATCTTGCTGCTACTAACTTCCATTCTGCACAGGATGTCTGAAATACGATTGATCTGTTTTTGGACTTGTGGCCACCAAGTTTCCAGGCTGAAGGCTTTGAAAAACTACCAAAACGTTGACAGAATATCATAAATTTGGGTGGTGATGTAAGGTACTGCTTTCATGTTTATATTTTAACTTTATTAATAAGGTATTTTTGGGCAGAAAACTTTCATTACAACCAGATATTTTTTTTTATATTACTTGGGAAGACAAAGCAAAGGGGGAAGGACAGTAGCTTTGAATTTTTAACATTTATTTTTAAATGCAGTCTTCAGAAATCTAAATTGATTCAGTCAAAAAGAGTATCTTGCTAAATCCTAAAAAAGAGTATGTTGCTTTTAAGAAATTTTACTGTACTGTCTATAGAACAACTAGTGTAATGAAACCTGATATAATGAAAATGGTGTAAACAGAATGTCATTGATGATTTTTCCATGAGAAAATTCAACAAAATAACAATTTAGAATGCTGGAATTAAAGTTTTATTTCAAAACTAAATATGGCGCCTTTTTTTGTTTTCCCACATGTAATTTCCTATTGTCTTTTTATAGTGTATATCTATAGTGATTTTTGTGTGCATTGAAAGGGGTGGAGAAAGCTCTGGCTAACCATTGGGTAAGCAGATGCCCAAACTCTTGGGGAAATGATGACAGAAAAAAGGCAATAATGATCTTGAATAACCAGCTGTCTCTTAGCCATTCATGATAAACCAGCACAGGCATTTAGATTGTGGCATGATTAAACAAATGCATTCAGAAAAAAATGACAGTTAACGATTTTATACTGAAAGCTAAAGGATTAAAAATAGCAAAAATGTTAGCCATCAAATACTTTTCATGTAATGAAGGATGGCTAACTTGATTTAAAGAACATCATGGCATCACTTTTTAGATGTTTAGCAAAGACTTCGGTTCTATATTTGGGCAAAAACTAAATGAATGGGAAAACAGATCTGCTCTTTTATTGAGAAACTATTGTACAAGAACATATTCAACACAGATGAAGTCAATCTTTTAATAAATATAGTCATTTGTGTTCCCTCTACAGAGAAGAAAACAGCATAGGTGAAAAACAATTCAAACTATGCTGTTTATTTTTATTTGAAGGAAACCATAATGGATATGAGATGCTTCTACTTCTGGTCATTTGAAAAACCTAGAAAAACAAGGTGTTTTAAGATGTAAAAAGCTTACTAATGAGATATGAAAGGAAATGGATAGCTTGGATGATTTTTTTTTTTTTTTTTTTCCTAAAGTATGTTTGCAAACTTGATAAATAATTCTCTAAATAGGAACCACAGGAGTTGCTCAGAGATAAAAATCTAGCATACTATGCAAAGATTTCTGGCCTGAAAATAATGAAACTTATTCCCCCATCCCACTCCACCAATTACCAAGTGATTAAGACACACTAAATATTAGAAATTTGACCAAGGTTTGAGGCCAGCAGATCAGCTGGCTGCACGATGCAAAGATTTCTGGCCTGAAAATAATGAAACTTATTCCTCCCATCCCATCAATTACCAAGTGGTTAAGATGGCTAAATATTGGCAATTTGACCGAAGTTTGAACCCAGCATATCCACTGGCGGCATGAGTGTTTTTCATAGTTTTTCCCTTTTATAATAATAATTAATTTCCCTATGAGAGTTCTCCATAAAGCCATTTCTCCCCTTGTGCCCACATGTGCTTTGTCATATTTAAATAATCTAACTTAATCTATCCCTCCTACACACTAAAATGCACTTATATGCTTCAGCTGACAGATCAAGCATTATAAAATCTTTGGAAGTCCCTTATTACTGGCCACTTTGAGACATGTAACCACTGCAATTGAGTATTTTTAAGCTTCTGACATAAATATTCTTCAGTGAAATGGCTCCAACAATCCTTTTAGTGATTTCAAACAAAATCATAGCTAATTGCTTTTATGAGTCAAAATTTGAAAAAAGGAGTGAAACAACACCATATAAGATTATTAATACATTAGTCTGGTTTGGAAATATGTGGCAAACAGTAGCTGAGCTGAATGTGATATCCCATTAGAAATCAATACTAATATCTTTGCTAGCTTTCATAATAAGTTAATGATTCCAAATAAGTTCAATATTGAAAAAAAATTATCACTATAGCAACAAAAGAAGAAAAAACTTCAATGAAGAAGCAGAAATTATTGTACTAATAATAACACCTTAAATTTGGGAATGCTCACAGCTCTGTACAAGTATTATCTATGAAAGAATGATATTGCAGAACAAAATTTTGAATATCTTTCAAATTAGATAATGATGTTTAAAAGGAACATTCTCTCAAAAAGATAATTATTTATGTTAACGAAATATTATCACTATGAGGAGTTTATCTGTTTGCTTTATATCTCTCTCTCTCTTTTAAAATACAGCAATAGTGAAGATAAACAAGATCATATTTTCTGTGTCTAAATGTATTTGTTTTGATATACATAATTCCTGAATTTACAGTATTTTCGTTTTTAACAATGTAAACTTTTTAAACACATAAACTTCAAAAGCTCGACAGTATACTTCACATATTTAAGCATAAAATACTAAGATTAATAAGTTAGAATTACTTGATAGTCTTCATCCTGCAAACAGTCAAAAAGATCCGAGATAATACTGCTGTGGTTCTATTAAAAAAACAAAAAAAAAAAAAAAAACTGATGACACATTAACTGGAAATGTATATAAATAATTACATACAATAAAAAATGAATCAGAAAAGGGAAAAAAAACTCTCTAATAGAATCTACTGAATTCATTCAGAAGTCTTACACAAGAAATAAATTTTTATACAATATTAAGTTCTAACAAGAATTAATTCATTCATTGCATAAAGTTGCATATAGCTTGCCATGCGGTGGAAGTGTTAACTCTTCTTTTTCATAAACAAAAGAATATATTCTTAAACTTAAGATTAGAGCAGTAAATTTAATAAATTAATTAAGATTTTTATTTTATTTTATTACAGATGTAGGGTTTTCCTTATTTTGAATAACAAATTTATTTTAATTTTGCTACCTGTACTGAACTTCTCAACTTCCCCTCACATTCTCTAACCAGGATGTAAATTTAAAGTTAAGTGAAGTGCATATTTAAACTCTCTATATATCTCCGAGTTTATTCAGAGCGTGTTTTCGCTAGCCACCACGTGTTACATTGTTGTTTCGCTGCTATGCTAGTAAGCGTTTTGGCCATATTGGATTTATCATCATGCCTGTTAGGTTTTTGTGAGTTCAGCTATTAGGCATAACTTAAGTGCTATCTAGCACTATTTATTTTAGATTTGACTTAGGAACATCCTCCAAAGCATAATAGATAGGAACATCCCCCAAAGCATAATACCACCAGCAGCCTGTGTATGACCTGCTGTACAAGGGAAGGGGCAACTTTTTGCCTGAAAGATGGCATACCCTGACCATGACCATTGACAAGATGAATGAAAAATCACGATTCATCCAACCAGGCAACTGTCTTCCACTTATCCACAATCCAGTCACAATATCCCTAAGCCCACTGTAGGTGTAGTTGACAATGATGCCTGTTTAACAGAGGTACATGAAATGGGACGTCGTCTGTGCAGTTTCATATCCAACAGTGTTCCCTGAACTGTGTGTTCCAAAACACTTGCACTTGAACCAACACTGTATTGGGCTGTCAGTTCAGCCACTGTCTGGTACCAATTTTGCTTTACCAAGCAAGACAGTCTTCAATATCCTTTTTCTTTGATGACGTGTGGATGTCCAACACCTTGGCATCTACTGCTGGTTTCACCATCATTTATCCACTTTGCATAAATACTAATAATGACAGATCATGAACAACATACCAGTCGTGCAGTTTCGGAGATACTTGTTCCAAGTCTTCGGGCCCTTACAATCTGCCCCCTATCAAATTCGCTTAGATCAGCAGTCTTTCCCATCACTCACAAAAATATATGGAAAAATTATTCGTTATCTCCTCCAGCAGCGGTTAAATACCATTCCCATTTAATCACATACACTCCACATAATCCAGATAAGTTCAAAATGTGAGAATGGTCATAACGTTTTGGCTCATCAATGTATTTTGGAATAGTGATAAATTTATCTCAGGGTAGAAGAGAGTATTTTGGAGAACTACTAAATTTTTATTTTATAATAAAAATCATTTTTAGATTTAAAAAAGAATTTATAGAACTGATTCCTTTGCTTAAATTTTGGACGATGACCGGACAAGAAGTGTCTGTAGTGCTACTCTTACATAATGGTGCACGCAGATTAATTTTTAGATAATGCAGACAGGCAAGGGACATAGCCAAATTAATATGAGGAATTATAAGGACTATTGCTAAATTAAAGTTAATAGTTTTCTTTTTATTTTAATAGTTTTCTTTCATATTTCATATATATATATATATATATTGTTACAAAATGTACAGGCGCAATGAGATAGCTTCCCCGCAAAGCAGTTTTAGGGTTGCCATAAAAATGACAAGGGAAGGCAGGGTTGCTCCATTTGGCAAGAAATCGCCCATTTGGCGACAAAATTGGCGATATACCATGGACGGATGGAGTACCTTCTGGAACAAATTCTTACCGGTTTAGCTCAGAATGTTCTCGAACACAAGCCGAAAGCTATATAAACCCTGCTGATCCACAGTCAGTTAGTGTGTGCCTCGTCTAGCGAGCTGATAGTCAGTCATTGAGCAGGTGTCTCAAAGTCTAACACCGAGTTTTGTCTTAGACTGTGCTGAGTCGAGAGCTATACTCTTGTGTAGCGTCGAGTGCATCCCATAGAGAGTCTCGAGAGTATGTGGAGTTTCGAGAACGACCGAGGAGAGTCGGGAGCTGTATTCTGGTACCTTGCAGTGAAGCTGTATCCACCGTGATAACCTGAAGGCAGTGTCGCTGATTGTTCCAGCGAGTGTATAAAGTAGATCTCCGACGACTGTAAAATGTGACTTTACTTCCGACGACTGTAAAATGTGACGACTGTAAAAAGCTGACCTGATTAATATTGGCTAAATAAAGTGTGTTTCGATACTTCATCAAGTGTCGTCATTATTCACTCCAAACCTACAAACCCCGTACAAACGTGAAGGAAGAAAATAACGTAACAATATATATAGACACATAGAATTAATAATTTTCTTTCATACTTTATATTTCATATATATATATATATATATGTAATATATTCAAACTCAGAAGTAACTGGAGAGCAGGAGGAGGAATTTTTATGGCCTTGAAGAGTTGATCCATAATGACTAGGAAATTGGAGGGAAAGGCAGATTAAATCTTTGCAGTTTTATTTTCAGCAACATACTGCGACTATGCACAAGTCGGCAGGTTAAATGTGACTGTTCCAAAAGGCTTACATTTTTGTTAACTTTTTAGCAAGAAAGCAGCAGCAGACAGACAGTAGTGCAGCTAGGCCAAAGAGTGGAAAGCAAGTGCATAATGTTCAGAATGAGAAATCTTACGTCAAACTGAGTTAATTTTGGTTCCCAAAGCATTTTGATTGGATAGTTAATATTGCTGTAAAATTTCTATTGGCTGGTTGAATTTTAGTTTCATTTACATCATAATAATTATGTAAGAGCCATATGACATAGAATAGTCTCAAAATGATGCAGTGCAGAGAGGGGGGTTACTATTTTTAGAATTGAGAAGGGAAATTTATGTTGCTAATTTAATCTTTTACATATTCTTCATTTTTCTTACATATATATATATATATACAGACATAGGGAATTTCAGCAATTCGGTTATAAACTTTCTTGAGAGATAGAGTACACCTGAACGATGGAAAATCACATAGCAATGCATGGTTGGAAATGCTTTCCTGACATGGTAGTGACAACACGAAACACATAAAAGGATGGACACAAACAAGGTGAGAAAACATGTTTATTATGCACAGTGCAGCCAGCAGAAACCAAGAAATGAAAACAAAAACTGACAACAATTATCATCAAAGAAAGAAAGAAATTTTATGACATCGAAATTATGACCCCGGACCATGATGCAGGCCTCACATTTCCAACGCATGAAAGATCTGATGTTCTGGAAAATACTTGCCACGTCCCAAACTTCCCCAGCAGTTGCCACAATGCATGCAACAAGTTCCTGAGCACTGTTAATGGGGGTTTCGTGAACCAGTGTCTTAACATACCCGATAGAAGTAGGCAACGCAAATGAAGTGTAGCGATCTTGCTGGTCAATGTACTGGACCACCCCTGCCGATCTAGTGTTAAGGATACGCTGCATTCATGTGAATACGCACATCAGAGCTGTTTAATGTATGCAAAAATTTAACATTTCCAACATTTTAGCTGCACTGAGCATAATAATAATTTTTCTCACCCTGTTTGTGTCAATCCTTTCTTGTGTTTTGTGTCGTCATTAATATGCCAGGAAATCATTTCTGACCATGCATTGCTATATGATTTTCCATCATTTAGGTGTACTCTTTCTTTCCCGAAAATTTTTATAACCGAATTGCTGAAACACCCTGTATATGTATGTAAGATATAACAAAATACGATCTCTGTTTGCTTCGCTAATACTTTTCTTCCACCTTGCTCTCCTGACCTTTCTTTTAAAGGGGGGATATGTAAGATATAACAAAATACAATACCTGGTTTAAAAATTATTGGCAACCTCAAAATTAACATTCTAGATTTGGTGCTCTCTGCTTAAAATTCATCTGTTCTCCCAAATTCGAGATTTTTCTACATTACGTAATGCTGCTTGAAAAGGGTAACCAAAACTAATATTAAACAATCACGTCTTGTCTCTAGAATCACACCTACTCTGATATAAATACTTCTGGCAGCTAATTATGTCACTTCTAGCTTCTACCTTGCTAATAGCTCCTTGTTTTGCTTCCCCATATAAACTGCATGTGTCTTAATTTTAAGAATCAATGTACATAGTAATTTAGCATATTTCATTATGACTGAATCACAGAAATGTCTCGGATTTCATTATGATTGGATAAACATATATAGAGATGATTTCATATGCGTGGAAATAAAGACTGGAAATTCGTCAAGTTCATGTTGTGTTGTCTTCATCATCAGCCATGACGACTGCAAGCTGAGTCGTCTTCTATGCTCCCGGAATTATTACACTCATATATACATATACAGGGTGTTTCAACAGTTTGGCTATATATGTAAGATAAAAAAATATGATAGCCAACTTCTAATTTTAATTGGCTATAACCTCTTTTTATTTTTTATTTAATTTAGGGACTTTCTTTCTCTGTCTTAGAAATAGCACTAAAGTCTAGACTGTGTCATTCAAATTAATCATGCAATCTTATGTAATGCTTAATGCAGATTTGCCCAATCAAAATAATTGTAAACCAAAACCTTTTGACTCCCTCCCTTCTTCCTCTGAAGTACTCCGACACTCTCTCACTTTCGCTTAAGCCTTTCTCCGCTTCGCAACTGCCTTCTTTATTCAACAAATATATGCTGCTATGCTTTTAGAAATGTAGGGTGCTTAAGACGTGCCTCCGTATGTGAATAATAAAATTATCTTGGATCTATCCTGCCATGTCTGTTTGTTTTGCCAAGTTTCTTTGCTTAGTCATCTATTATGCCATCACTAAGTTCCAGATATTCATATCATGAATTATATATATATATATACTTGCACAGAAGAGGAAAGTAAAAACAAGCTAATGCTTTAAAGCAAATTTGATACTGCAATTCTAGAAATTACACCAAGTATAAACAAGAATACAATATTAAAGCAGTAAAAGTTAATGTGAAAAAAACCTAGTGTAATAATTACAACAATATATACTTCAAAAACAAAAATGGATTAAGTTAAGACTAGAAATCTTTTTACTATTAAAAATTTTTTATAATGTACACAAACAAAAATATTTTAAAGGCAAAGAAATTATATACAAAGAATTTAATATTACATTTCAATAAACAAAAAAACCATGAAAGTACTGGAAAATAAGGAAAAAAATTTTAAATGCTGCAGTAACATATTTAAAAAAATATTAAAATTCAGATTTAAAAATAATATCACTGTCATTTGAAATATGGAAATATTAAAAAAACAGAAAAATAACCTGGAGAATGAACTCGTGATGATCAAAATTGTTGACAAGAAGTAATAAGATTCTAGCTGCAAACACTGCAATTGTTCCTGTAGAGCTGATAATTGTGAGCAATGGAGAAATCATACCCTCCTTCAAAACTGTATTTTAAATTACAGAATAAATATTAACTGATTAAACCAATAATAAGTTTTAAAAAAAAAGATTCTCTAAAATACTAAATTATAGATATTTACCAATAATCTGTTCATGACAGTTGCTAACACTTATTTACATGAAAGCAATTCTTCATGTATATAATTTAATTTCAGTAAATGATACATGTATATAATTTAATTTCAGATTTGAATTAGATGACCCATGAATTTTAATTTTACATATTAATTTCAGACTTAGATATCTCATGTTCAATAAACATTTTAAACATAAAATTGAATGACATTAAAGTATCTGAAGGCTATGAAAATATAATCTTAGACAATTTTGCTGTATGCATAACCTTTTTTAAATCCTATTTGTTCAGTAATAACTAATTTGAATATATAAGAATAAAATTATAATTTTTAAATAAATAAATGACCACTACATATAATTTTTATTCTTCTAATTCTTAACATTTGTTTTAAACAGATTCACGTTAATTACTTTCCTAAGTTAACAAAAATTATACACACAAACTGATGATACTTCATCGTCAAATTAGAGAAAGATAAAAATTCTAGTAATAATTTTCTTTAAACCCAAGAATATTTAGATGCTCCTGGCCCAAATGTAACTTTAGTTGTTAATGCCATGGATCACTGATAATTCTGTTCAGAACTGTTCTTTGTGATAGAATAGAACACATTCTTTGATTATGTCAAAGCACATTAGGATTACCTTCCTTAAGGCAGAACTTTCTATGAAACTGGTCTATATTTATTTTGCATATAAGAAAATCTCTAGAAACCTCATACAGCCAGCAAATTCATTTGGCAAGAATAGAACTCAGAGTGAGCTGTTCTACCCCTTATACCTACAAACAATTTGTGTTTTAACCACTTAGCAGTACTACTGCTAACTTTATATGAGTTTTCAATGGTTATAAAATGATGGTTCATTAATATGTGTTTTTTCTTTTAAAAAGTTCTCAAAATAATATATGGTTTAAATAAGTCTTCTTGCCTTTCATTTTGCTGATATAATAAATTAATTTAGCTTTTACACTCCAAATGACTGCATTTCTTATGATTATTCAAAACTACTGCTGTGTGGGGGGGAACTTAACATTTCGAAAGCTTTTTAGTTAAAATTATTTATTTTCAAAATTATATTTTGTGAATAAAATGTCTCATCTCACATTTGACACATTATAACTTAAATGGAAATTCCTAGAACATTACTTTTAATAAGTAATGCAACATGGTGAGGTTAAAATGATAGCAAACTGATTAAGTGCACTGAAATGTTGATTATAAATACTAAATATGATCAAATATGTTGACAGTGAATGAAAACCAGAAATTAACTTTTTCCAGAAACATTAATTTTTTTTTTTTTTTTAACCAGAAATTACATTTCAGACATTTAACTAATTAAATAAACTAGTTAAATGTCTGAAATGGAACAAATGAGTCAAATTCTCCTGTACTGAATACATTTAAATTCAATTATATATATATTTTTTTTAATCATACATTAATTTTAAAAATTTGTTCAAATTTTGCCTGCTTTTAGTTTTACAGTCATTTTTGTACATCAAACAGCTCCAACAAAGCCCCAAAATTGTTAAACGAAGGAAATTGAACAAAGGAAACCCCAAAATTGTGGAAATAATTTGGTGTGTTAAGAGAACAGTATTATGCAATTTTATGCATTCTATTATTCTTTTTTTTTTCGGGGCATACTAACTAGAAGCTAGGTGTAGTCATAATTTTCCTTGTGTTTCCCTTAAAAAATTTGGCCATTTTAACAAGTATTTATCAGTGCACTGACATGCAGTGCTCATTCCTTTATGTTGATAATAATAGGATAAGAAATGCCATCTTTATACAAAACACAGTACATGAGAAATTAAACTTTATTTTTATTTTATTTACTTTCTGGTGCAAAGTTTACACTGTTTGAAGTTTTTCAGATTTTTCTATCATAAAATCGATTACCTGAGCTACTGGTTCTAATGGAAAATGTAAATAAGTAAGTAAGTGTAAGAAGTTGCCAGGCTGCCCAGATGGTATAGTGGTTAGGGGCAGAGTCAGATTTAGACTTGATAAGGCTCAAAGCTATTTGAGATATGGTGCCCTTTATAAGTCTGTTATAATATATTTTAATACTATTTATACTACATTTTAATTTTTGGGGGGCCAAAAGAAAGTGGGGGACTTTGTGTAACTTATACATAAATCCATGCTTGGTTAAGGGAGCCTACTGTGATACTGGAAGGCCCAGATTCAAATCTGGAGAAAGCATGGATGTTTGTAAATGTATAGTGTCTGTGCAGCATGGAAGCACTCTAAAAAATGTGGCGAGCCGAAAGTCCTCTTGAGAGGTTGGTGGGAGGGAAAGAGGGGTGGGAGACACTCAGACACATCCTCCTGGGGTGTTCTCCATGAAAGTTGGGGGCAGAACTGAGCGAAGTCGCACTGTCACTTGTATGGTGCTCCAGGCTCTTTCCAATCACAGGTGCAGTCTTGCACTTCTTGCCACGATTAATTTTGTGGACTTGTTCTGATGTTACTATCAGACAAGTGAGATAAGTCATAACACAACAACAGAAGTTGCCAGAGAATAATAATTAATAATTTTTCTTCACATTCATCCACCTTCAGCAGCAACTCTTCCACTACAAATTCAAATTAGCTGTGACGAGACATTTTCTATTTAAAAAATGATATTTTAGTTTGTTTTTACAGTCTTTAATTTTTTTTCCTTACTTTTATAACTTATATCTGAAAAAATACTGCTCCATGATGTTTTACTTATTAAGTAGTATTATGTAAATACTATACATACATACAATAATAATAAATATTGCAATTTCTTATATAATAATAATAAATATTGCAGGTTCTTAAGCTACACTTGTACAATTTATAAATTTGACTTATTCAAGCTACATAAAAATTGCCAGAATGCACTACTTACATAATTTGGATGGTTTATGTATATACAGCTTTTGTTTACTTACTCTTCTATTACTTATTTCATTAATTAATTTTTTAAGTTGCTTTAGGAACCTAATAATAGCAAACTAGATGATTAAAAAAATGGGGATTGTGTTTTAATGGTTAAATTATTTAATAGACTTTGGGAAATACTACAATTATGTTCAATTTGGAACCTGCACAATTTTTGGTTTACATAAACATGACAACTTAAAACATTTATTTCTTTATGCAAATAGTCAAGTTAATACATTTTTGTACAGAATATTTCCAGATGAAGAAAATTATAAACATACATTGTAAAAATAAAATAGTAATTAAATGAAATTATACATTATTGCTTATATTTTATAAATAAATATGTTGTAAAATAATCCTAAAATGTTAATTCCCTATTTTAATTCTTAGCAGAATTTTCAAAGAATATGAAATATACACTTAATAAATTCCATTTCATAGCTTTGGCCAACATGTTCTTATGGTGATATGTGCTTTTAATTTATATTAATTATATTTTCACTCTTCAGACTCCTGATAACAAGGTAATCAGAAATTATGATATGATAAATGAAAATATATGTGTAGGTGTGTATTTTTGTATAAAACATACAACAGGCAATCTCCTTCTAGAAGCAACAATAAATGGTATAAAAGATTCTCTGTATTCCTTAGCATTTAATTTTTAATTAAATTTTAAAAGCAATTTTATCTTATTCAGCATTTGCAGAATTGAATTACAATGCATATAGCAACAAGCATATAAAATACCTTTTGTTCTTATATTAAAATCCATGCACAATAAATTTAAGGCACTTAAACAATCACTGAGAACTTCAGTAGAATTGGATGAAGAAATTATACTGAAACATAAAAATATGACTTTAAAATACAGATATGAGACATGGAAATTATTTTTATTATTTTTACAGAGAAAAATAGATTTTTTAAACAAATACGGCTTTGATCTTTTTATACTTAAGCTCATTTTTTAACAACATTTTTAGTCCAAAGGGGCTTTGTCCCTGAAGGACTATTGTTTTCGTTTTGTGATTTTGCGTTGAAAACTTTAAAAGGCTGTATCACTTTTCAAATCATTGCCACCAAATACTATCGCCCTGTATTATATTTGAAGAAATTAAATAATGAAGAATCTGCATAAATGTACGTATGTTTCTCGCACTATGGTAAAACAAAGGTACCCAGAGCCATCCAATTTTGAATGACATAATCCTACGAACATTTGCATTTGAAAGCCCAAATTTGAAATTTGGAATTTGTTGGATTATCGATTTCATATTTTGTAAAACTTTAACGAATTTTTTATTAACAAACTCAAGGATTTCAAAAGCGAGTGATGGCAACATTGTACAGGAAAAAAACATTTTTATCTTCAGCACATGAGACTGCCTATCGGGAGTTCTAAAGATATGCTCAATTTAAAGTTATTTTGCGATATTGCTGTAATTTTATGGTTTAAGTGCGAACTTGATATTTAATAAATAAAGGTAACACACAAAATGTTAAAGAAAAGCCCCTTTGGAAGTAATTTAAAAACCTTTCAGATTTTCTTATGTTTTTTTCCAATTTTAGTTTAGCTTTAACTTTTATCACTTTGTTGTGACAATACTGTCTATGTAAAAAGAAGTGGAAGATGGTGGGGGGTAATAGATTGAATTAATTTATTAAAGAGACATTTTACTTTTAAAAGAGTTTTTAACAATTATATAAATGTATAATATATATATATATATATATATATTAATATAATATAATATATATATATAAAGATTTATCATTAATATTTTTATATCAGAAATTAAAACACTTATAATGGCAAAATACAAGATTTTATTTGTATGTAAAATTAAAAATAAAGCTCATCTCTTCTAAGTCCTAGTCTTCAATAACAGGAATTTTTTTTTCTTTGTATAACAAAAGTATCTACTCAGTTAAAAAGTAAAACAAACACAGGGTGTTTTAATTTTCATCATATATATGAAAAAGCAAAACATTCATATTTTACTTTTTCATATTCAGTTCTTATGCCAAGAAATTATTATAGTTGAATGATAAATATGACATAACAATTATAAATCTGCTTTAGTGAGGATTCGATAGTTTATTTTCCACCATTTGATTGTAAAGGATTACAGATGATAGAAGAATAAGATATTTTGATTCCGATATGATAAATGCCTTTGGATTTTAATGTAATTAGCAAAAGAGTACAGTGGGAAAAAGCCAGTTTTTAAGAGATCTCAGCAATTTGTGAAAATGATACATGATTACAGGAGGCATAACAATGTGATAAATAACACCTGAAAATTGTAGCACATCCCCTCTCTCCAAAAGAAAAAAGTAAAACATTGCATCATAGCACAACTCAGTTAAACACTATACAATAAAATTAATTATCAAGGTTACAGATGCAGAAATGCCATTAATATGTTTTAAGTTAATTCTAGTAATGAATTTGGCAACAACACTTTACTACTTTTATGATTATAATTACGCTACTTAATTCTTCAATTCAGAAAACTGACTATAGTTAGCATATTCACGTCAAAACTTGTGGACAGGAATGGTTACTTATGTTGCAGTTGCTCAATAATTATTTATGCTACTTTTGGTATTTATCTGATGAGCTGTACATAATAATGCTGGCTATGACTAGCATCTACATGATGGCCTGTTGATATGAATACCATCTCTAGCTGGTCTTCTTTTCTTGTAAATAGATACAAGTTATCCAACATCTGTTGTGATTGTTACAATTGCATATTTCATTATGTATAACAAATACCATGATTAATCTGTATTATTTTTGAATAAAAAATGAGCGCAGTATAATATTTATACAATAAGTTTTCTAATTATAAGTGCTATAAAAAAAGACTTTTCAAACTCATGGAAGAAATGATTTAAAACCACATGAAATTATTAAGATTTTGGAGTGCATTAATTATTATTAATTTTAAGATATAGGATTATATACATTTTATTTTAACATTTTGGAAATTAAAATTTTAAGCATTTCTAAAGTAGTTTACAGTTACTGTTATAAAAATGCAACTAGCAATAAAAGACTCCATAATTTACAATGAAAAACTCATAAAGACAGCACATCATTTAGGGTTAAGTGCTTCACATTGAATTCTCCCATACAACGAATTAAAACAGGCTCATACATATGACAAAGCCATATTCAAAGCCAAATGTATGGTAAAGATAGGGCTAGTAGAGATTGTAGTTTTCCAATATTTTAAGAATGAATATGAGATACCAGCCAAATATTAGGCACTTATATGTGCATTACATTCTCATTCCTATTTATAAAATAGTATTTAATGTAGAAAATGAATTAACTAAAAAAGTAAATCATACTTCTAATAATCAAGAATTTGAACTGCTTGAGATATGTAAGACTCTTAAGACAAGGATGGGCATTTAGATAATATCATTATTTGATTTGCCTTTCTTCTAAAAATAATGAAACATAATTCACTATATCCACACAAGTATTGAGTTTTCAGTACTTATAGAAAAATGGTATACATTATTATAGCAAAAGTCCAATACTCCAACACGTTCAGTACTTTAAAAATCCGGATTATTAAATATGTTGAGTTATCAGACTAAAACTGCATGATGCTGCAAAATTATCATTTTTAATGCATTGAAGAATGAGAAAGAATAGCATATAGTAGTTCTTCAAAAAATTTAATTAGTGAAGCTTATTAGTAAATAAATTTATTCATAGTTTAGTTACATTGAAACTTTGAATTCATCATTCTTTTAAAGCTGGAATTCTTCATAGATTCCACTTTTTTTTTTTTTTTTTTTTTTTCATTATTTGTCAGGATATGAATACAGTGGTTCACACATTTTTGTAATGATTTTTATTAAACATGACTGGCATCAAATTATAATAAGGTTTAATTATCGCTGGTTGCATTAAAAATATTCTTTTTTTTTTTTTTTTTTTTTTTTTAAATGTTGCTGAAAAATAAACAATGGTTCGAAGGCTATATTTTTGCACTGTCCAAAGATAAATACTTTTAGTCAGTTATTAAGAAAAAATATGAAAAAGCATGGTTTTAATATTTCTGCACAGAAAATATATGACATAATTAATATGAAAGGAAAGAAACATTCAAGTTTACATCTAACTGGGAAAAAGGCAAAAAATACATATCCAACAAAGGTACATACAGCTCTTATTACATTTAAAGTCACATCTCATGTTTTAAAGGAAAAGCCTGTCCCCCAAAGAGTTATTGCAAAATCGTTAAATGTATCTGTGAATAAAATTATAAAATCGAATTTAAAGCTAATTAAAACAAAAAAATATGATGTTCATCGCCTAACACTGAAACATGTTTCTCAGCATAAGACTATGTGCAGATTACTGTATGAAAATTATGCAGCAGGTGAAAAATGGAAATATATAGTTACAATTGATGAGGCTTGGATATACTTATCTGACTGTAATAGAAAATAATCGATTTACTATCAAAAAAGAGGAGAAAAGGACTTAATATGCTGGTTTAAAGGAAACAAGGAAAGTTTTTCTAAAAGTTTTATGGTTATTACTGGATTCTCTTATAACAGAAAACTTGAAAGTAGAAAAAAAGTGTCAAAACTAATTTGGATTACTATCAGAAATATGTTTTAACATCTACTTTTAAAGAAGAAATTCTATATCTTTATCCAAACAATCTTCACTGCGTTAAGTTTCATCAGGATATGGCTCCTCTAAATCTACTGCTCTATTTTTTGAAAAAAATAAGAGATGAAACTGGAATTGAAGTTATTCCCTTTAAATGCATCACATCCAACTCCCCTGATGTGTCTCCTATGGATTACTGTACATTTGGACTTTTAAAACAAGCTCTTTATAAGCAGCATCCCAAAACATTGAATGGACTCTGGAAGGTTATGAAGCAGGAATAGAATAAAATCAACCTTGATGTTTTAAGAAATGGACTTTTATCTTGGAAATCAAGATGTAATATGATAGTTCAACAAAAGAGATATCAGATTGAACATATTAGAAAATAAAATTCTAAGGTTTGTTTATATATAAATCTTTGCAAAATTGTTACAAAAATGTGTGAACTCTCTCTGTATTTATTATATCTCAAATATTATATTTTTCTCATTTTTTGGTGAATTTAAAAAATGCATTTTACTCTTCTTTAGCCTCATGCCATGTGATCATGGTTAAATCCTCTCCTTCATCACTACTCATTTCTTTTGATATCTGCAAGTTTAATAAACTTTGCAATGAATTTGCAAGCAGCAGGTGCATCCACACTTAAAACTTTTGGCAAATATCTAAAATCACATGTCTCCTTCTTATACCTGTATCAGATTTTAATGAAGTTTCAAAACCTTCTGAATAAATAAAGCAAACGATAGATAAATGCAAAGTTTTAAACAAAAGACTACCTGAAAAGGACCAATAGATGAGTTAAATGTTACTGAATGAAATGCTAACATTATCATTTTACAGCAGGAATATTAGTAAAAGAAGTGACAAATTATTGGATGTCCTGACCTCTGGATACTGGGTTATTAGACTTTTGCTATACACATGAATATAAATATAAAGTTTTATATACTGCACATATTACAAATACTGAATATGCATCTGAAGTTGTATAAATTACAAATTAAAGATTTTCTTTCAACATACATGATGCAGAAGAAAAATATAAGACAAATCATGCTGAACATTTAAGTCACAAATGAAAAACATAAATATTCACATACCATTTCAAAACTTTTAGACAACCAATTTCTGTTAGAAAGGTATTCAACATCATATTTTGTGTTATGTTATGTAAGGCAGAAGCTACGGCACCCTAAAAATTTCCAAACTACAATAAGCTTTAAAGAAAAAGAATTCAATTTTATATAAAAACATATATATTTTGAATAATTTAAAATATTATAAATATGTCTTCAAATCAAAAATGTACATTGGTTAGTAAACATTTTTGAGATACTGACTCCGATCATCCTATTCAAACTCGTACAGTGAACAAAATAATCCTTCACTAAAAAGAAATTGTTTCTTTCTAAAACAAATTTTTTCTCATATTACATTACATTCTTACCTAGTTTAGAGATTCCTCAAATCAAGAACACAAAGAAATGAAAGCTACCAATTTCTCTAGCAAAATAAGTATTATATATAAGATGCTTTTCAAGTTCCATCACAGCTCTTTTAATATCTCATCACTTGTATTCCAAATAGTGGAAGAAACAGTTTTCAAATTTTACCAAATACTCAGTCAATTTCTAGGAAGCATTTTGCTGCTTAGAGACTGAAACACTCACTGCAACCGAAAAGTGGTTATACGGGTAATGGGGCTCCAGCCAATGAGCAGTTTCAGTCTTCCTTCATTTCTCAATGAATAGCCCCCAAATTTACAGATATAGTTTCTTCTAATCATTTTTGTGGAAAGTACATGACAAACAAATTTGTTTCCTTACAAAAATCGTAGAGAAATGCATTCATAGACAAGTCAAATTACTTGAATATATAAAAAATGACGAGTACCCAAAGCAGCATTTAATAAAAAGAACTACATCTTTGAAATATTGTGGAAAATTATCATTATCAGTGAATAATATTTGTGCAGAAGCAAGAGAAAAAATGTACACTGAAAGATGTTTTCCATTTATCAAACTTCAAATATTTATAACTTAAGATTTTTTTTTTTTTTTTTTTTTTTTTTTTTTTTTTTTAAGTATGAACATGTTTGTTCTTGATAAACCTCATCATCACCATGGCATTTTAATTGAAGGCCATAACTTACGGCATTTTGATCAGAAGGTATGTTAAATAAAAAAATTTTTAAAAATTGCTAACAAGCCATTGTTTACTAGGCCCTTATTTAAATAACAAAAATTAGTAAACTAACAACCAAAGCCAAATTGAAAATGGCACCTGGTCATTTATTAACAGAAAAACAGCATTAAAAAAAGGTTATAACAGCAATGCTAAAAAACTGAAGTCAAGTATTTTTTACTGAGTCATCTGGCCTCGCTTCCAAGCCACATATTCTCTTCAAGCACTGCCTGAAGCAGTCCACTGTGGCTCACCACTCCTTTATTCACCCTGCCCTTGGCCTCTCCGATCTTTCCACTGGTTTGAAGAAATAGCTAGGCTTATATACTTTTAAACTGGCTATGTGTGAGCCCCTTTCCATCCAAACTTTGCATACGGCAGATGATGAATCATTCAAGGAGTCATTTGCCATCTGGGGATGCAATGAAGAACTTCAACTACAAAAATAATAGCTGTTAAAAACTTCCTTCCCCCCCTAAGAGTCTTAAGGACATCAACTCTGGAGCTGGGCCATGGGTACATCCTGAAATTGTTATAACACAGTAAACAAAATAGTTCAGAAGACATACTGTGTTTTATATTTCAGCACAATGGAATTTGCATATTTTAATCAATCTTTAGAAAATCATCTTCAAGCAGAAAATCTATCCAAAATAATTGGAAGAAAAGCATAATTGACACAAGAAATTTAAAAGGGCTATTTGTACAATGGTAAACGTTCTGCTTGCCCTTGCCTATTTAGAAAACAAACCAAGAATTCTCACAGCACATTCCAGTTAAGCTTAAAGAAAATAATAATGATGGTAAGTCTATAACTTCAAATTTCATACCAATATTTTAGAAAATTTGGCTGAAGTGGATGGATTTCATCCCATATAAACTAAAATTGTTAACAACAGTTAAAAAAGCTAGAAATACAGAATAAGCCTACTCTATTAATTCACTACATGGAATGCTAAGAAAGAACTTCACATCTGCATGCACTCTTCATACTCCTGCATACTCCTTTAAGTATACTGCATACTCCTTCAAGCTATAGTGCAATATGTTTCACTGTAATGTTTTTACAAGTTATTCAGATTCTTTATTTCCTTCAATAGTGTGTTCTTTTCTTTGTAGTTTTTCCTGTGTTCTTACTTTCTAGACAAGCTTTAACATATAATAGGAGAATAGGACCTTGAATTTACTGAATGAGTCAAATTCTGCATAGTTAAAAAGTCTCTTATATTTTCAAATATTTAGCATGCATTATCTGAATGAAAGTAAGAAAATTAGGCCTAAATTTTTAAATACATTTTATATGATGTATTAAGTGTATATGATATATTTACAACATTATTGAAAAATTAAGTCTTTAACCTGTTCCAAGATTTTTTAAATACATTTTATATGATTAAAGTCTTTGATTTGTTCCAAGCATTGTTAGTGATAATTTATATGAAAGCTAATAAAAACAAACCGTTAAACTTTGGTTTAATGAAATTAAAATAGTATTTTAATATAAATTAGGCAAAGAAACAAGCTTCTGTTTGGCATATCTTTTTAACCTAAACTTTTCTTCTGATGATGATGATGATGGGCCTGCAAATTTTGCATTTGAAATCGATAGAATCTTGGTTGAAAAAATATGCCAAACAGAAGATTGCTGCTTTTCCTTACTATGTTTTACTTTACCCTGCATCTCTTCTCTCCTGATTTTAGTATTTTAATTCTATTTTTGAAAATTAAGTCGTAATAAGTTAGTGATAACATCTTTGCGAGAATACTTTGGAAGAAAACAAAACATATCATCCCTATTAGATGCAAAATCTCAAATCTATCTTTCAAGAAATGCAAGTATTTAGAAGCAAACTTAGTTCACTTTAAACGTCTTTCCATTTGCATATTCAATTACAATCAAAAGATAAAAGAGGGGGGTAACAAAATTCTTTGATTTTTATAATACAAATTTCTAAATTTAATAACAAATAAAAAAATCTTGCAAATAAGTAATATTCTTCTGCTGATTATCTCATTTCCAGCTCTTATATATGGATAACTCACTCTTCTGTTAAAGACACTTGCCAGTGATATTCTGATAGTATTGTTGCAGAATCAAGAATTAATGTTAGTTACAATAATCTTTTTAATAATAACCAACAAATTTGAAAAACATACTTATGATGTACAAAAATATTTTTAAAAATTACTTTCAGCTTAGCATCTCCATTTAAAGCCATGGACAACATTATGTGAAGACCCCCACATTCAATAACCTAGATTTAGAAAAACAATGAGAAAAATATACATATTTAAAATTCAATTTTCTGTTTTTTAAATACATATTTTTTATTAAAGTAAGTTACATTTTTAAATCTGTGACATGATATTTCAGGCAGTATTCAATATACACTTTTCACTCCTGAAATGCTGGAAACAGAAAACTACAGAGAGACAGAAAACAAAGTATTTTAACCTTTTTAAATGATGATTTCTTTGGATATTCATAGCATTTATGCATAACTAACTGAACAAACATTTTGACAGCTAAACATAGCTGGCATCTAATTTTTGAAAGCTAAAAATCAAACTGCTACATAAATTATTATTTTACTTATTTAACAATTCTGTGTTTATTTCTAATAATATACTGTCATTACTTACTAATTAATTTACTAATCTGAATATATTTCTCATTCAGCTCAATTTTTTTAAATAATATTTAGCTAACATTATTTATCATAGCATTTATAAATAATAAATCCCCTTTATTTTTTAACTTAAACTATATTATTTTAAACATGAAATATTTCATTCTTCAAATCACATACACAAACAAACACAAACAAACAAAAATATAGATTTTAAAATTTTAACAGTTTTGTGCTTTAATGTGCTAGGAGTTACACATAACTGAAGAAAACTATCGAGTTATCAAAGGTTTAAAGAAAAGTTTGAGAAAATTTCTTATTATTTAAATGGATTGGTTAGACTACTTCTAGACTAATGAAAAGAGAATAAAAGTGCAATTTTCTGCTCATATTTGCATATATTTTTTCCTGAACAGTTAGCCTACATTTATTAATCAAGCATGCAATATTCATAATTTGAGTTTCAAATTTAATCTCAAGATGATGATAAATTTCCTATCCCTAGGAGACAGATCAAGACATTTCTATAACTTTCTACATAATGATATTTAATCAGATATTAATGAAAGCCTATAATACTATTTCATGCCAGTCTTTAAAGAAAGGATTAAATTTATTTTACTACAATTTAGCTATATTTATATGTGTTTATGTGTGTAAGATAAAAAGATATGAATTCAAAATTACTAACTTTAATTCCTGATTTTAATTTGGCTACATCCTCTTTTTGGAATCTAAAGTGTGTTATCTGAAAATTAATCCGTTTCGTGTTTTCATGTGATCATGCAGCAGTTCGACAGTTCTTGTCCAATCAGAAAAAAGAAACTTTTTACTATAAATACCACTTTTTTTTTTTTTTTTTTTTTTTTTTTTTTTTCTTCCTGCTAACCATGTATAATTTCTTGGCCCACTATTGTCTTTCGTCTAAAAAAGATTTCAGCTGTATAAATTGTAAGGTTCACTGCACAAAAAAAAGGGGGGACAGTTCTATATCTCTTGTTCTACAGGGCCAATTGACCAAATTCAAATTGCGTTTCCATGTCACGGAAGCGAGACTTAGGATATGTATTAGATTTATATATAGCATTGTTCAAAATTAGGTATTTTGACACAAAATTGGACTTTACATGACAGTAATGACATGGCAATTTTTTTCCATATTTCGATTCGGCGACTCAAATTATGCCAAACTCACAAGTTTTCTAAAAATCGCACGAGTAGTTTTTAAAAAATTAGCTCTTAAAATTTTATCTCCTCAATGTTAATTCAATTTGGTATGTATTTATTAATATCTCTTTTTTTTTCATGAAACTTACTTGATTCCTTCTTACACAGATCGAAAATTAGGTTCATTCTAAATAAAATTCACCCACATTTTATGATTTATTTTTAAATATTTTTTATAAATTTTTTGAAAACAACTTTGAATTATAACCTATAAAATTTTTACAATCATTTTAAAATAGATGTATTTTTAAGCATGCCAGCAAAAAATTAGAGCGTTTTATTATTAAAAAATTTCCGAAGATATACGTGAATTTATATATTGGCGCGTTTTCAAATTTGCCATGTTTGTTGAAAGCGATAATAACGAAAATGTGGTTTACGTATTTTGTTAAAATTATTTGAAAGTAGGAACGATATGATTTTTTTTTTTTTTTTTTTTTTTTTTTTTTTTTTTTTTGCTCATCCACAAAGTAAAAAGGTAGGAATGATGTGACTTTTTTCCCTGCTCCTGTGTTCTTACAATGGAAGGGTAAGGAAAATAGGTTGCCATATATTAAAAAATTCGCCACGTGAATTATTCTTGGCTCAAACTGAAAAAAAAATGCGCCAAGTTCAATTTTTGAATTTCTTCGTAAATTTCGTACTAAATTTTACAAAATTTAATATTTAGGCATAATTTGAGTCGTAGAATTGAAATATAAAAAAAAATCAACATGTTATTTCAGAAAAAGGTCCCATTTTGTGTAAAAATGCCTATATTAGAAAAAAGATGTATCTAAAATCTAATATATATCTTAAGTCGCACTTTGGAGACATGAAAAACGCAATTTGAATTTCGTCAATCGGCCCAATAGAAAAGGAGATATAGAACTGTTCCCCCCTTTATTTTGCGCAGTGTATATATCGCACCAATAATAAAAACATGTGAGTTAATTGTATTGGGATGATTGCATAAGGAAACTGTTAAAGAAGAGATGTTTATCCGCATCATAATTGCTTGGAGAGGCTTTAATATGTAGATATAAGGATGACAGTCACAGATGTGGTCGAATTAAACATAATTTTATTTCTGCATAAAGCATTTCCAGAGACATAATATTTGTTTACATATTTTTAAAATGGATATGATTATGCACCCCACATTTTATACAATGTACGCCCGTTTTGGATAAAAAATGATAGTGGGGCAAGAAACTATCGCCTAGCAAAAGCAAGGTAAAGTGGGTAAAAAAGGGGTGTGCAATAGTAGCAGTAGTATTTATAGTAAAGAGTTCCTTTCATCCAGTTGCACAAGAGCTGTTGCACTGCAGCATGATTACATAAAAATGAAATGGATTAATTTTCGGATGGTAAAATGGATTAGATTTCAGATGATTCATTTTTGAAGGACGCAGCCAAAATAAAATCAGGAATTAAAAGGATAAATTACAGTAATTTTCAGTTTCATATTTTTTTTATCGTACATATACAAAGTGTCTATAATTAAAGAACCCTATTTCAAAGCTGTCAACAGACGAAACCAGGGACCAGAGAATTGTGAAATTTTGTGGCGGGCTTAATGAAAGGATGAGAATGTCTTTCAGCAATAAAAAAATAAAAAAAAAATTCACTTACAAAATTGCATTGCAATTAAAACCAGTAGTAAAAATATAAATTTTACTACTGGTTGCAGCAGCTGTTATAAAACCAAGAAACGTTTGCGAAAACTTTGTTTCCAATGTGCTTGTTGCTCACAATGATGATAAGTTTACAAGATCGAGCTTTGTTAGTAAAACTGTTTTACCAAAACAGTAATTCCACAGTAGCTGCTCTAGGAAAATTTCAAACTTTGAAGGGAATTCTAAGAGGTCCAATAAATGTTAAAAACCTTCAGAAAATAGTAACAAAATTTAAATACACAGAATCATTTTCTCTTCGTCCTGGGGGGAGGAATTAAACATGTTTCTGCAGAAGGAGCATACGAGGTTGCACTCTGGTCATAGAGGACAGGACTCTGGTCAAAATTTCAGGCTAGCACCAGTGTCCAGCATATAGCAGAGGTGCTGGATAGACCACATTCAACTATCCATAAGATCTCATCGAATATCCTCCAATATTATCCTTACAAACTTTCACTAGTGCAGCAGTTGCTTCCTCATGATTTTAACACTCGACTCCTGTTCTCACTTCAGTTGAGGTCACTTCTATTTGAGGTCAATTCAGAATGGCTTTGGAATATCCTCTGGACAGATGAAGCATATTTTCTTTTGGATGGTCCAATGGATACTCACAACTGCTGAATTTGGGAATCAGAAAATCCGCACCTTGTCTTAGAGGCTCCATTGCATTCACCAAAAGTGATGCTATGGTGAGAATTTTTTGCATCATTAATTCTCGGCCCATACTTCTTTGAAAAGTTCCTCAGGTCCAGTGACATGCTCGATCACCAGGCAGCGATATGCACTGCTGTTAGAAAACAAGATTGGTCTCTGCTAGAATGTCAGTGCCTAGCATGTACAATCTTCATGCAAGATGGAGCTCATCCACACATTGCACGGCATGTTACGAATGTTCTTAATTGTTAATTTTGCCTCCCAAATTTGAAACTACTATTAGCTGGAGCCTTATTGTACGTGCCTGCATCATTAGCATCATGCAAGGATTAATTTTGAAATGATGTAGTTCAGAGACATTTATTATAACCAATTACTATTTTTAGGTCGGAAAGAAGTTACAATACCCAAATTAAAATGGAAAGCCAAGGGAAGTATTGCAAATTTAAGTTTTTGATTTATATATTTTTTATCCTCCATACATATTAGATAAAGGATATATAAAATAATATTCTAACTTGCAACAGCGCCTTAAACCTCTTTTTTAATTTTGTTAATTTTCTTTTCTATATTAAAAATAGCAACATGCTTATAATAAATCTCTCTGAATGGTATTATATCAAAATTAAAAATTAAGTGCTATCATATGATTCTTTTATAATGCTCATGATGTATGCATATGCTTACATAAAAGTCTTTCAGATAGCAATAATAATTAAAATCAGAAAACCCAAACCTTAGTCAACCAGTGGGAATTAAAATAGAACCATAACTTCATTATTTGTAATCTAGCATTTTTTATAATTTACACTTTCTTCTCCCTTTTCTTTTTGTTTCATATATATGTCGTCTGCAGCTTCTCCTCTTTAGCTCCAACAACTGAATACTGTAAAAATGTGAAATATTTTCTTCAAATAATCAAACAGCAAGTGTACGCTTCTCAGTGTCTATAACTGCTTCTGGATGTGAATTATGCTTGAACAAATATGATAATGTGCTAGTCCATAACTGTGTATTAATTGACAAAAAAAAGTATTAAATATTTATTTCTATATCAAATTCTTGTATTATTTTAAGTATAATATG